CAGTTAAGGTGAATTTTGGTTTTGCATTTTTTTTTCTTTCTGCAACAAGTGAACAACTGAAGCGCCGTGTCAGCATAAGCTGAAAATTTTGAGCATGCACTTTAACTATTTGCTGGCCATCATGTTGACAACATATTCAAAACGTATGCTTAACATATGCAGCTAACACCAGTTTGTTGGACCGTAACTGACATGATTAAACATAAAAGCAGAAATATATGTCCCAATAAATAAACAAACTGAAAATTCACCAATTAAATTAAAAAAGGAGAACTTTTCCTCAAGTTTTATAATTTTATTGACCATATGTATTTTTACTATCTTAGTTCCAATGAATTTTATCACATAATTAACATTTTATTGTTTTTAAAAATATATATTTTTTTGGCTTTTCCTTTTACTTGTACATGCATTTGTGTCTAATATTTTTTCATTTCCTCACAAGTCATATTTCCATGTGCTGTTTTTATATTTTTCTGTCTACCATCTTTACTATCTTATGCATTTCTGCCTCATTACGCAAATAAAGTGGGCTGTCTTTCTTGGGTCAGCTCCTCTACTACTGGTCAATAAACAGGAAGCAGCAGGATTCATGTGCAAATCTACTGTGCATGGTGTGTTGCCTCAGTTTACTTTACAACCAAAGCAAGGAAGAAAAAAAACTTACCTGTTCTTTTATTTGTAACTAAACATGAGTGTTAATCTTATATGTAATCTGACTTTTATTTATATCTATTTTTATACATCTCTACTTTTATTTCTAATTATGACAGTTTCGATCCTTCATAAGCCTTTTCTGACCAGCAAACTAATAACAAGTATGTTTAAATTNCTTCCAGGTTGTGGTCATCCATTCCTTCTGGATAATCAGGCAGGAAATTTATTTCCCCTTTCTTTGGCTTCTTAATGGCTTTGTTGGGAGGTTCATCACTTGTGGAATACCTTCCACGTTTACCACCATTAACAGACACATCGAGTCGGCCCAGCTGTCGCATTTTGGTTCTGTAGTTTCCCATTTTGAACTGGAGACTATTTTTCCATGCATCCCATCCACTGGATGACCCTTGTTCTTTAAGGCAAGGGTGTGCTTGTACCAAGGCTTTTGCAACAGATTCAAATTCTTCCTTTGCTGGGTATGGTTTGAATGAATACATGGTTTCTGCCAACTTTTCAAGGATAGCATGCTTCAGCTCTTTTGTAACCTTGAGACAAACTCCGTCCTTGAAATACAGCAGGTTACCTTGGCGAAGTCTAAACTCGACATCTACTGGAAATTTGGGAATTTCAAACTCCTCTGGCCACTGAGAGCTTCTTTCAGAAGAGACAGACAAGATCTCGGTGTCTGCCAGGCTGACTGAGTCACTAGACAAGTTGAGGGATGTGGTGACTGGGACGAGCTCAAACGTCGGGATTATTTTGATGGTTGGTTTCTCAGGAAGCTCTGAGACATGTGTGAGGTTGCAGAATTCATTATTAAACTCTGGATCTTGGTATTGTAGGGCGAAGCTGTAATTTGTTTGGAGACAGTCTTTGAGCCAGCTAAGCAAATCTTCAAGTGTGTCCGGTCTTGTTGCCATGGTCATCTTTCTAATATCTCCCTCAGTGACTATAACCCTTGTGG